ACTACACACTTGAAACCTTTATCATACAATGTCATCCAAACATAGAGTAAGAGGAGGAGGAGCAATGGATAGAGTCCTACCACATACCAAAAGGAAATTGCTCCTAATGGTGACATGTGATCTGATATACATAATGGAATCTTATTAAATAGAAATGGAGTAAAGTCTAAATTGAAGATATAGCATGGTATAGCAGTTAAATGCTTTATAGTGAAGCCTGTCTTACCAAACGAATTTCTAGGAGTGTTGATTCCATTTATAGATTGAATGATTGCTATCATCTGAGAATAGAATACCACAGCATTTATTGATCCATTAGTTAGTTGTATATTGAATATTATTATTACTATTACCATCAGTGTCACTGGTACTACCTCTAGTCCAATAAACAGTACAATACCATATTTGGAATACTCTGTACAGTTAATGCAAGTTAAATTGTTCAGGGGTACTCCAGTATCATTGGTACAAATCGCAAAACATTGATCTGTACTGCTGTCATAACAGCATTCGCCATAGCAAAAGGCACATTCATCATAGCAAAATAGACATTCGGTGTCATAATAATCATTGTAATAAATAAATTGAAGGTTGTACTTAAATGTATCATTACAAATCTGTATCATGTCCGACATGTCAATGCATTCCCCATTAACTAAATAATAGTAAGATGCACATGTAGCACTGATATATTTTGTTACTGTAGTATTAATCCTAATTAGACCAAGTGTTTCAATGTATACTGTTGTTTCAATTGCAGCAGCTCCTATACTATTATCAAAACATGTGCCTAATTGATAATAATACTGGTATGATTCATCTTGGATGCTTGCATTGTTGCAATAAGAGTGGTTAACATATAATTTGAGATTACTTGTCCAGTCATATGTTTTCATATTACAGTTATCAGTGACAGAAACTGTGAATTGAGGATATTCACAATGGCAGTTTTGGTAATAATCTGGATTTTGGCATTGATAGGCTTCATGGTCATAGTCATAGTACCCATCACCGCATTGTAGAGGGAGATTTA